GTAATTTATATTTTAATATTTGTATTATATTATACTATTTTATTAGTTATATTTATTTTATTACACTTACATATTAATAAATTAATAATAACTAATTATATAGAATATAGTGTGTAAATAGAAAATATATTTACAAAATCAATTTTTTTATATTTATTATATTTTAAGGTGTTTCTTTGTAAAATTTTATTATTATTGAAAAAAAATTATGACCAAAATGTTTTTCTTATTTTTTATTAGTAATTACTTTTTTGTTTTTATTTTATTTTTTTATTTTATTACTTTTATTCAATTTCACAAATCATTAGTTTGAAAATTTGAGATAATCTTGAATTTTATGTCCAAACTCACATTAACATGTTCATCAAATACTCAAGCATTTAAGATCATCTCAAACTATTATAAGTACATATTTGATATCATTTTGATTATGTCGTGTATGATTACGATCTTCTCAAACAAAATTACATTATGTCGATAAGGATAATTTAACTAAAATTAAAGGGGGTCAACTATAATTAGAAAAAAATTAAAACATAAATAAATTAGTAGAATACGAAACAAATTAACAAAATAAAATTATCTATACAGCTCAAACCTAACTAATTAAAAATCTATAAACCTAATATAGATAACATTATTATTTTCATACTTAAGTTACATATTTATTATTATCTTCATATATATTTTGGAGTATCTTTTGACACACCTTTTCTTAATTGAAACAAAATCTTGATTTGATAATGCATTTATTTGAAGGTTAAAGAAAAAAAAAATCTTATTCTGAAATCTTTTGTCATATAAACAAATAAATCCTCATATTTTTGTTTTTATAATTTTTACTTCCAAGTATATTATGAGATTCACATTCTTATTTAATCTGATAAAAAATATTATAAATTTTAAATTTTGTTCTTATCGTTCAACGTATATTCACAATCTTTTTATTTTTTAGTAAAATTCAGCATCTTCTCGTAACATCGAACGCCAAATATGATCTAGAAGTTATTGGCATTGACGCAGACGAGGGTCACGAATAATAGTATAAGAGCAGTAAAAGTCATGTTCTATAAATATAAATAGTTATCAAACATGAAATTAAAATTAGAATGAACGATAAATCACTATTTTAATTCATTAAAATTTCGAGTAAAAGTGAAATTTTATAATTTTAATAGAACCAATAAATAAATAAAATATTATTTTCAAATATAAAGTAACTTAATTAGGGATGATGGATCTAAATAGAACATTATCCGGTAAAACATGTTTTCGATCCAACCACTTAGTTTGACAAAAGACACGTAGTTTTTCAAATATTAGAAAAGTATGGCACGTGCCAATGACACCACGGTTGTCTTTGTACATCTTATTGAGACAACTATGACCTGACATTAAATATTAGTTACTTTTTGTGCTCATCTCATCCATAATTTTTTTTTCTCAATGTTTAATTCCAAGTTGATATTACCATATTTTTGTTTATTAGAAAAAATAATTAAGTAAAGTCTCATTTTAATTCCTCCATGATAAAAGCTTGGAAAGAGTTTTCGAACTTTTATATTGAATGATTAAGTACGATTTTTTTTAAAATTATATAAATTTAAGTTGACTAACTTTAAAAAACACTGTTGAAGTGTTTTTTAAAATTTGCTTATAATATTTGTCTATAAAAAAGAGTACAGATTTAAAAATAAATATTTTTCTAATGATTACTTTAAAATTTACCTTTAGAATAATTTTAAATTACTTTATAGCATAAAAATCTTTGAATTGTCAGTATATAAAAATTAAACTATAGTTCCTTTGTAAAAATATATTTTTAATTTTTTTAAAACTGAGATGCGAATCTTCGTCTTAACTTATGCTTTAGTCTCGTTAGACATGAAGGTTTTCAATTTTATTGAATCTCAACCAAGGTGTCGGTTTTCGTCACTCTAGAACATAAAATGCATTATTTTCTATGTTACTATTTGACTTAGCCTCTATATCATATTGAATTTTAACTGTCGTTGATTTTTCATTTTCTTCAAGGGTATTTACAAATCAATAAATTATATTTCCTTTATTCAAAATTCACACACATTTCATAAAACTTCAGAATGAATATAAAAGAATTTTAAAAAAATGATTGTAAGTTTTCTGACTTGATCAGGTTTTCACACGGTTCTTAGAATAGTCTTAATAAACTTTTAAAAATGATATAAATAAACAAATTCATAGTAAACCACTAATTATTTAAATAAAAAAATCGTTGAAGAAAATAAATAATATAAATAATTTTATTTTTTTAAAATAAAAATATTTAGCAGTCAATATATAAATAAATAATTGATTCAAATAAAAAAAAAATATTACAATTTTAATAAAAAACTTTAATTTTATTTTTTTTGTTTAAATTCCACTAATAATTAAGATAAATTAATTCATATTTGATTTATTTTCAATTATTAATACGAGTGTTTATTTTTGACGACGCAATTAAAACAATAAAGATTTTAAATGTATAAAGGCAACAAACAAAAGTTTACCATAAAAAAAACATAAATTTACAAAAAGAAAAAAAACAAATGTTCATTTAATTTAATTACATATCATTAATTTTTCCGTCAATAACATCTATTATAATTATTAAAGATTAAGTGCTTAATAAAAAATAATAAAACTAAAGTTTTTTTAACTAAAATTGTATTTTTTTTATTATACTAAAAATTAAATATATCAATATCTATTTCGCTAAATCGATTAATTATCTTGTATATAAAGAGTAAAAATTAAAATTTTCATCAAAATGCTTATTTTAATTATGAACTAAGAAAATTGTGTATTTTGTTCCTATCACACGACTATAGACGTAATGAATGCATCATGCATTTGAAAAAGTTGAGTCAACGTGTTCATGTGTAACTTGGTTTGTAAAATCGAAGTTTAAGGTTAATACTCTTCTGGGAAGAACATTCCAAATTCTAGATCCAGCACAATTAATTCAAACCTATATACATGTATTTCTTACGTTCAATGAGAAGATATTTAAAAATGAGAAAAAGCTTACATATACAATCATTGATATTGGAGAAAATAATAAGATGTTTTGATATGGGTGTTTTAAAAACAAGATACATCTAAAAAATAACTATTCAATATTTATTTGAACCAGATTTATGATATTATCTATTTTAGAATTTGAAATCTTATATGATATAATTGTTAAAATTATGTATAAAAATAAAAAAAAAGTTATATTAATTTTATCTTGGGTGTAACTCTTTAAACAAAATTTTTAGTTTAATTTTTTTTATAAAGAATAAGAATTTAACGATAATTTAATTGTTTTCTTTAAGTGTGGAGGACTTTATAGTTTGTTAATAAAAAAGTTAAGATTTATGAATAAAAAGTAAAAGTCATTACGAAACGAGTATTATCTGAAAAGTATTAATTATATTTATAAAATTAGTATAAACTGTAAATCTATATTTTTCTTAAAATAATATTAACTTGAACATAATTAAACAATATAATAAATAATAAAAAATAACAAAAAATAAGAATATAATAAATAATTAAATAATATAATTAAGTCAATAGAAAATAATATTACACATTAAATATATACCCAAAAAGAATTTTCATTCCACTAACCATAAATGTTCAAACTTTAAATTTAAGATAACGTTCTTAAAATTAATTACTACTTCTGGATATTGTGCTTTAAAACTAAAATTCTTATCAGGATTTTATTCTTTAAATATATCTCTTAAAATTAATACTGTCAATGACGTGGACGTCTTCAATTGGTGTCTAGATGCATACATTATTTGGCCGCCATCATCACCAATAGTCAGAACTGAACAACATGAATAATGTTGACTCATACGTAATAAATGCTTTTTAAGTGGTGTTCATTAAAAATAAATAATACGCAACTATATATGAGAATCAATATTAAAATAATGTTAATTGTTTCAAAATATAAAGTAATTTTCATATAAAGTACGAGGTTTAACGCGAAAAGTTAATAGTAATAATATGTCAACGGTTAAATGTTTAAAAAATTTGATATAAACTAGAAGTTTAATTAGATTTTAAATTGTTCTGTTTGAGCATTTCTAATTTAGTTTCAATATTTTTTTTATATAAAGATTACTCAAATTTTTAATATTTTTTAATTGAGTAGTTGTGATTAAACGTTTTTCAGCGACGCGATTGTTAAATTGTTTATTTATTTTATTGTTTTTACGTATTAATTTTGTTTTATTAATATAAAACGATAAATTATTTTTATTATTTTAATTAATAGTATATGAAATGAAAGAATATTGGGTTGTTTTTTGACAGCTTTCGCATTATTTCTTTCTTATAATGGTTAAAGGATCGTTATCATCACTCTTAATATAAGTGACGGAGCATTGTATCTTATCATCGAGATGTTTTTAAATTAAAATAATAAAAATTATTTGGTGTCTTACATTAATTCTAATAATTTTTTATATTAATCATAAAAAACTATATATTTTAACGAGTAAAAAAACAATAATTATATCATCTAATTAAAATAAATAATTAAGAAAGAATTAAAAAATGATAATAGAATTAAGGTATTATCAAGTTAGACGTCGTCATCAAATTTTTTATATAAGAAATAATGCTTGATAAATATAAATTTTTTATATCGATTATTTATCTTTAATTTTTACTTTTTTTTAAATATATATATATTTATATTTTTATGATCAAATGAATTGAAATACTTGTTACCATACTATTATTATTAGGGAAAAAGTTTTTCAACAATTTTTTTTTATAATTTTTTTACAGCCTTACATGGTAGCTTGTGCTTGAAGCATTTAAAATGTACAAATCAACAAGACAGTGACCCATAATTTATTATAAAAAAAAATTGTTAAAATATGATGTTATATTTAAAAGAAGAAACATGATAAGGGAGCAAGGCAACCTATTTATATATAAAGACTCCATTTGCCCGCTCTTCATAACAAATTAAGTTTGCCATATCTATTCCTTCTTCTCTAATCTTCTATTCTTTCCTAATCTTTCTCTGCTGAGACATTGTTCATTTTCAATGGAGAACAATAGTAAGATTCTGATAATTGGAGCAACAGGGTTCGTCGGAAAATTCATGGTGGAAGCAAGTGTTAAAGCTGGTCACTCCACCTTTGCCCTGGTTCGAGAGTCCACTCTTTCTGATTCATCAAAATCATCCATCATTCAAACATTCAAAACCTTGGGTGTCAACCTGCTTTTGGTACGCTAATATGTTTTCTAGGAAAATGCTACATCTTCTTTTTCAGAGGTTGTTCTCCTATGTTTTTTTTTTGGCAAACTTCTCTCATTAATTAGTTGTTGAACGTGTTCTTCTATACACAGGGAGATATTAATGACCACCAGAGTTTGGTTAAGGCGATAAAGAAGGTGGATGTGGTGATATCTATGGTGAGTCACAGGCAGTTACAAGATCAATATAACATCATTTCTGCTATTAAGGAAGCCGGAAATGTTAAGGTACCTCCAAATTTACTGTTGTTTTTTTCATGCAACTATTGTTGTTAAAGAAACTATTGTTGTATTCTGATATAATTATACGTTTGCAGAGGTTCTTTCCTTCGGAGTTTGGAAATGATGTGGATCAAACTCATACTGTAAATGAAGGACAAGAGCTGTTTGACAGAAAAGCTAAACTTCGTCGAACCATCGAGGCTGAAGGAATTCCTCATACCTATGTTGCGGCTAACTTTTTCACTGGACACTTCCTACCCACTTTGTCAGAACTTCATAGGATAAAAACACCACTTGATAAGGTTGTTATTCTTGGGGACGGAAACATCAAAGGTACGTAAAACACAGCTGTTGCATGGATGGAGCAGTCTATGTTTGTATAGAAATTATGTAATTCATGTTTTTCTTTTAAGTAGTTTAACTTTAAGTTCAATTTGATTTTTTCCAATTTCATGTTGTTATACGAAGAGTTTGATTCACCTTTTTCTTTATTTCTCACGGTTTATCTATCATAAATCTTCCTAGTAACTTTTGTTTGATTTACAGTTGTTCTTAATACGGAAGAAGATGTTGCCACTTACACCATTAGAAGTGTTGATGATCCAAGAACCTTGAACAAAATTCTCTATGTCGGACCACCAGGTAACACCTTGTCGTACAATGATCTGGTATCTCTCTGGGAGAAGCATCACTATGAAACTCTTAAAAGAGTCTATGTCTCGGAAGAGNTATTTAAAAGAAGAAACATGATAAGGGAGCAAGGCAACCTATTTATATATAAAGACTCCATTTGCCCGCTCTTCATAACAAATTAAGTTTGCCATATCTATTCCTTCTTCTCTAATCTTCTAGTCTTTCCTAATCTTTCTCTGCTGAGACATTGTTCATTTTCAATGGAGAACAATAGTAAGATTCTGATAATTGGAGCAACAGGGTTCGTCGGAAAATTCATGGTGGAAGCAAGTGTTAAAGCTGGTCACTCCACCTTTGCCCTGGTTCGAGAGTCCACTCTTTCTGATTCATCAAAATCATCCATCATTCAAACATTCAAAACCTTGGGTGTCAACCTGCTTTTGGTACGCTAATATGTTTTCTAGGAAAATGCTACATCTTTTTCAGAGGTTGTTCTCCTATGTTTGTTTTTTGGCAAACTTCTCTCATTAATTAGTTGTTGAACGTGTTCTTCTATACACAGGGAGATATTAATGACCACCAGAGTTTGGTTAAGGCGATAAAGAAGGTGGATGTGGTGATATCTATGGTGAGTCACAGGCAGTTACAAGATCAATATAACATCATTTCTGCTATTAAGGAAGCCGGAAATGTTAAGGTACCTCCAAATTTACTGTTGTTTTTTTCATGCAACTATTGTTGTTAAAGAAACTATTGTTGTATTCTGATATAATTATACGTTTGCAGAGGTTCTTTCCTTCGGAGTTTGGAAATGATGTGGATCAAACTCATACTGTAAATGAAGGACAAGAGCTGTTTGACAGAAAAGCTAAACTTCGTCGAACCATCGAGGCTGAAGGAATTCCTCATACCTATGTTGCGGCTAACTTTTTCACTGGACACTTCCTACCCACTTTGTCAGAACTTCATAGGATAAAAACACCACTTGATAAGGTTGTTATTCTTGGGGACGGAAACATCAAAGGTACGTAAAACACAGCTGTTGCATGGATGGAGCAGTCTATGTTTGTATAGAAATTATGTAATTCATGTTTTTCTTTTAAGTAGTTTAACTTTAAGTTCAATTTGATTTTTTCCAATTTCATGTTGTTATACGAAGAGTTTGATTCACCTTTTTCTTTATTTCTCACGGTTTATCTATCATAAATCTTCCTAGTAACTTTTGTTTGATTTACAGTTGTTCTTAATACGGAAGAAGATGTTGCCACTTACACCATTAGAAGTGTTGATGATCCAAGAACCTTGAACAAAATTCTCTATGTCGGACCACCGGGTAACACCTTGTCGTACAATGATCTGGTATCTCTCTGGGAGAAGCATCACTATGAAACTCTTAAAAGAGTCTATGTCTCGGAAGAGAAAGTTTTGAAGTATATTGAAGGTTTGTGAATCGTATTTAATTAATTGATAATTATTAATTATGTGCATGTTCAAGGTGAAAAAGAAATGTGTGGTGAACTTGTTTCTTGTACTTCTGAAATCAAGTTTTTTGGTTGACTTGAAATTATTGCACAAAGGGCCTCTAAATGTGTGTTTGTGCTGATAATTGCAATTTCTTGATCTTGCAGAATCTTCATATCCCATCAACATGGGTCTGTCAATTTGCCACTCTGCGTATGTGAAGGGAGATCACACTAACTATGAAATTAAGCCTTCATTTGGATTTGAAGCTTCAATGCTCTACCCTGACGTGAAGTACACATCTTTAGACGAGTTCTTCCACCATAATGATGCTTGCACACCATTTTACTTGAACCAACTTATAACCGTTAATGATGTGTAGAGTCTTACTTCTAGTATATTTATCTGCAAGTGTTGGTTTTGCTTAAAGATGCATAAAACAGAGTTAGGATAATTTTTTCTTCTTGTCAAACTTAGCCGTCCAAATAAAGAAACGTGTGGAGATGCTAAAGATATTCTAGTTCTGTCACATGTCGTGTAATAAAATTACTGTTTGTAATTTTTTATTGTTGCCTTTTTTTGGAGGCAAGAGATTACATATTTTCCTCTATAAATAATTCATCGGTTGAAGCATGGATTTATGGATTTGAAAACAACCAAGACCTGAAAACAACTCGAAGGAAAATTTTCTATCATGATCCACGGTTGTACAATGTAACTTTCTATCTAATTTTATGCCAATTATTTAGAAACTTCTAGCCAATTTCAGAGTATTAACGCTATTGAGAGCAGACAAGAAACGGAGCAAAGCATTGCCCTTTTAGTTGGTTCAACACATTTATATACATTTTCAACTTATCCTTATAAAGAAGTCAAATAAATGAACATAACATGTCGAAAGATGAAAATTTTCTAAGTAAAAATATGTCCACTGCATAACCAGGTCTGAGTTATCTTTGTAGGTATAATAGGATTTAGTTATCTTTGTTTGTGCTGTTTTCTTGAAATGTAGGGTGATTGTTTTCTCAAGAGTGCCCTAAAGAGGGTATATTCTTACAAAACCCTTCTTTGACTACGTAATCTTCGTTACGTGTCTTACATTGTTTGTTCAACTTTTCAAAATTAATGTTTATTAAGATTTTAATTCACTATTGTTTAGAATAATTTTGAGTGATTTATATTTTGGGAAACAAGACTTTAATAAAGAATGAAAATGTTTGAGTAAAAAAATAGTTGGTTAAATTACTTTAAAAAATGATTAAATACATTATGAAATTGGTTAAATGATATAAAAAGACATTTGGACTTCAAAATCAATATTTAGTAAGCTTTTATTTTCTTATTTTTTGAATAATGTTGAGCGGTTCATAATTTGGAAAATAAAATTTTAATGAGAAATGCATACATTTAAATGAAAAAATAATTGGGTTAAATATGTTTTTCGTCCCTTAAGTATCACACGATTTTGGTTTTAGTCCCTACTCAAAAATTTGATCGTTTTTAGTCCTCATAGTTTTGAAACTCTTACTATTAGTCCTTAAAATTGGATGACGTTAACTTTTGTTTGACATGGCTAACGACCAGCCCACTTGTCATGCCACCTGACTATTTTTAATTGATGTGATAGTAAAGGTCTGGTAGTCGGTCGGCCTGGTGGATGGTCGGCCACTAGGTCTGGTGGTCGGCATAGTGGTCTTTGCCCATAATCGTTCGGCCTTTTCCCAACATCGTTCGGTCTTTCATGTATTGCATTCCACCCGTCACCATAATCGTTCGGTCTGTGCCCAACATCGTTCGGTCTGTGCCCAACATCGTTCGGTCTTTGCCCAATACCGTTCTGTCTTTCATATATTGCACTCCATCCGTCACCATAACCGATCGGTCTTTGACCAACACCTCTCGGTATTTGCGGAACACCGTTCAGTCTTTGCTTGTAACCGTTTGGTCTTTGCCCAATACCGTTCGGTCTTTTATATAGTCCACTCCACACGTCACCATAACCGTTCAGTCTTTGCCCAATACCCACCAGGCCGACCGACCATCAGACATTGTAACCGACCACCAACCAGGCCGACCGACCACCACACCTTTACTGCCACGTCAATTAAAAGTAGTCAGGGAAGGTGACATCACACGTGGGCTAGCCGTTAGCCACATCTAATAAAAGTTAACATCGTCCAATTTTAAGGACTAATAGTAAGAGTTTCAAAACTATAAGGACTAAAAACTATCAAAATTTTGAGTAGGGACTAAAACCAAAATCGTATGACACTTAATGGACGAAAAACATATTTAACCCAAAATAATTTATTAAATTACTTAAAAAATTAAATATGTTATAAAATTTGTTAAATGTTCATATAATCTGAAACAAACACTTAAACTTCAAAATTGCTTCTGAATTTCCTAATTTTAAAATAATTTTGATTCACATTTTTAAAATAAGCTAAACTCGTTCACTATCACCAAAATCTAAACTTGTAAGCATACCCAATACCAAAAGTCAACAAAATACCAAATCCCATAAATTAAATGTAAAACCCTAACGGACTCTTTCTTTCCAAACGACTATTTCCATAATCATTTCGATTACATTTCTACCCTTCCCAATACATCTTCATTTTACAAACCTTTAATGGAACCTAAAAAAAACCACTGCCTCATTTTCATCAAAATTAATTATAGATAAATTTATATTTTGATCTTCTAATTCTCATAAAAAAATTCAATTAAATTTCTAATTTTTACTTAGTTTAATTTAGTTTTATAATTTTTAAGAATGGTTTAATTAAGGCATTTTTTTATATTAATAATAAAATTTTATTAAAATTTATATATCAAATTTTAAAAACTTAAATATTTAAATAATTTTATTTTTTAGGTGAAATTATTTTATATATAAATTTCAACAAAAATTTAACCTTAATTTGAAAAATGATTTAATTGAATCATTTTAAAAAATTAGAAAACTAGATCAAACCAAATAAAAATTAAGAATTAAATTAGATTTTTTAAAAGATTTAAAGAATTAAAATAGATTTTTAGTCTTAAATTATTTTTGGACGATGATATTTTGATAATATTTTTATGACAACATTTTAACATCGTGTCATTACGTGATTTGTCCAAAATTAGTCCATAATCAATAATAATCATAAACACCAACATGGACTAATCACATAATAATGACACGTAGATAATGTTAAAATGTTGTTAAAAAATGTTGTTAAAATAAGGTTGTTAAAAAAATGTTGTGAAGATATATTTTACTTATTATTTTTTCTACTGGTGTTGATTGACGCTGACTCCACATCTGTCAGTGATTTGTTTACAAAGGTCCATTTGTCCACTCGGCATAGAAAATTAAGTATGCAATATCTATTCCTTCCTCTCTAATCTTCTACTCTTCCATAATCTTTTTCTACTGAAACATTATTGTTCATTTTCAATGGAGAACAGTAGTAAGATTCTGATAATTGGAGCAACAGGGTTTGTGGGAAAATTCATGGTGGAAGCAAGTGCTAAAGCTGGTCACCCCACCTTCGCCCTGGTTCGAGAGTCCACTCTTTCCGATCCATCAAAATCATCCATCATTCAAACATTCAAAACCTTGGGTGTCAACCTACTTAAGGTAATATATTTTTTAGAGATTACTGTCTGTTAACAAAAATAGATTATGTATAATTATTTTATTGATCCGTATATTTTCCTAAAGTGGAAA